CCAGTGAGGGGCTGGGGCGTGGCTCAGTGGTAGAGCCCCTGCCTAGAGTCTCTCAGTGAAGGGTTTGGGGCTGTGGCTCAGTAATAGCATGCCACCTGAATACACAAAAAGCTCTCTAGGTTCAATCGTAGAATTGCAAAACAATTAAGAATTGACTACAGAATCTGTTTCCCCTTGGCCTGCCAATGCTTGATTAAAAAAAAAAACAAAAACAAACCTATCCACAGGTGGATGTTGGGAGTGTCTCTGCCCAGGCACAGCAGAAGACTGGTCTTCCTTCCTTCCTTCCTTTCTTTCATTTATATTTTTTAATTTGTTTGTTTATTTATATGAGTACACTGTGCTCAATGGATGTGCCTTCAGACACACCAGAAGAGGGCATCAGATCCCATTACAGATGGTTGTGAGCCACCATGTGGGTGCTGGGAATTGAACTCAGGACCTCTGGAAGAGCAGGCAGCACTCTTAACTGCTGATCCATCTCCAGCTGCAATTTTTTTTTAATGCTGAGTCTGTTTGCGTGCACTTGCCTGTGTGCCTGGAGAGGTCAGAAGAGGATCCACTGGAACTGGAGTGATGGGCAGTCTTATGTCTCCCACTGTGGGTGCTGGGGACCCAGCTCAGGTCCGCTGGAGAGCAAAATCTGCTCTTAACTGCTAAGTGTCTCTTCAGCCCTCTGGTAATGTCTCTGAGCAGCATCAGTCTGTGTCATGTAGTGTGACAGAGGAAGCCCCTGAGTTCTCAAAGTTCACAGCCTTAAAACTGTCATTGTAACAGGAGAGGTCTCGGGTGCATGGGCTTTTCCTGAACCCCCAGTGTTGAGATTAGCCTCTCTATCCCTCACTGCCAGATCACTACATAATACTTGGGGCTTTTTCATCTTTTTCCTAAAGATTTATTTATTTTATGTATATCAGTGTTTTGTTTGCATGTAATCTGTAGACCAGAAGAGGGCATCAGATCCCATAGATGGTTATGAGCCACGTGTGGGTACTGGGAATTGAACTCAGGACCCCTGGAAGACCAGCCAGTGCTGTTAACCACCTGGCCATCTCTCCACCTCACATGACACCTGGGGCTTCATAAACCTCTTTCAAAGTCAAGTGCGGTTGTAATCCCACCAGTTGGGAAGCTGAAGCAGGCGGATTGCTGCAAGATCTAGGCTGCCCTGGATTACAGAGTAAGACTCTATAAAGAAAAGGGGTGGGGAGGGGAGAACTTCCACCACTCAGGGATTCACTGTATGTAGTTCTTCCTTAGTTTTTTGTTTTGTTTTTACATTTATTTATTTTGTGTATACATAAAGGTCAGAGAACAACTTGAGGGAGATGGTTCTCTCATTCTTGTATGTCTCTGTGTGTATATGTGTGCCCACGCGTGCGCACGTGTGTGCATGTACATGCATGTACATTTGTATGTGTCCTGGGGATTGAACTCAGATAGATCATCAGGCCTGGTGGCAAGCCCCTTTACCCACTGAGCCATCTCGCCAACCACCCTCCTCCTCTCCTCTAGTCCTTACATATGCAGAAAAGTGATGTGGATCTGATGAGAACAAAACTTCGGCGCTTGGAAGAGGAGAACAGCAGAAAGGATCGGCAGATAGAACAGCTTCTGGATCCAGGTCGAGTAAGTCCCGGGCCCAGAGAAGCTTCCTGGGGCCATGGGAAGCAGAGGGAGGAAGAGCCACCAGGGCTTTCCCAGACTTACTGTCTCCTCTCCGGCCTTCCCACAGGGCCCAGACTTCGTGCGAACCTTGGCAGAGAAGAAGCCTGACACTGGCTGGGTGAGTAGAGCCTCCTGCTCCAAGGAGAGCCTTCATAGAACTGTGGGAAGGGAGGGGCATGGGCTCAGAACTTTCTAGAACTGTTGTGCATAGAGCCATAGGGATTACACGATAGTATTTCAGGGGTCAGCAGGTTTAGTAGCGACCAAAGAAAGGTAAGCCAAATGTCAAGTAGTCCCAGTGAACCCTGGGCACGAGAGTGTGTGGACCGCCAGTTTCAATCCACAGAACAGGGCTGGGGAGGAGCACAAGTCTAATAAATAAGTGAGTAAATAAACACATGCAGTCACTTGGGAGTCTAAGACCAGCCTCTGCCATAGCGTGGGCTACGTGAGGCCCTGTCTCAGAATACCAAAACAAACAAAACAACGATGACGACAAAACCCCTAACACGCAAAAAGACAATCTCAGTGTACATCTTAGGGATCACATCCAAACCAGTTTCTACTTTAAAATGAGGGTGAGGTGGGAGTATGGAATATGTCATGGCCACCCCGTGAGTAAAGGAAGTGCAAGGAATTTGATAACAAAGGGTTAATGGGCTTGGTGGCATGGAGAGAAATAGAGCAAAGCCTTCAGACTAGAGGGGAACTGAAAGAATGCCTCAGAAGGCGAGACTTAGGTCACACCCGGCAGGGATATGCAGAATATCTGTGGTGTTCACTAAAGATTTTTCGGATGTAAGATCCATGAGATAGGACCAGCAAGACTGGTGTAGGTGTGTGTGCAAGCTTGCATGTGTGAGCTTGCATGTGAGTTCATGCCTGTGTGTTTGCGTGTGTGTGTGCATGTGCACCCACAGTGTATGTGTATGTCTGTGTGTGTGTGCGCACACAGTGTGTTTGCCTGTGTGTGCACACGTGTGCATGCATGCATGTCTGGGTGTGTGTGCACACACAGTGTGTGCATATGCGTGGTGTGTGTATGAGTTTGCCTGTGCATGCTCGCATCTGCGTTTGCGTGTGTGATGCCTGCGTGTTCCAGTCTCTGCCTCCCCTGGGCTGAGATTACAGGCATTCAGTGACACAGCTGGGTCTTATGTGGGTGCCAGAGATCCAGATTGAGGTTCTCATGTTTGTGTGCAAGCACCTGAGCTGCTGAGCCATCTCCCCAGCACCCCGGCGCCCTGCCCTCAATTTTAAAAGCAAGAAAGTGAGATGTATCTGAATCTGGCTCCTCCCTCCTCCTCCTCGGCTCACACAAGGCAGGGATGGTGGCTGTAGCTGATTTGGCTTCTCATCTCACCAGCACTACGTACTGCCAGGAAAAGAAATTATTTTAAGTTACTCTGAGTAAAACCTTACACCACAAAGCAACAAGATTAGCAAAGATGGTACAGACCAGATTTGGCAAGACCCAGATAAAAGCAGGAGCACTCAAACGTACTCACCGTGCTGGCAAGCCCCGCCCGGCGGGAGCCACACAGCTGAATGTGCTCTGTCACAGCTCTGTCACACTGCTCTCCTGTCCACCCGACCAGGGACAGTGATAGAGCCGCCCAGGGTGACAATGTGCAAAGCCATTCAAAGTGATTCATGGCAACCTCAAAACATTTCTGTTAATTAAAAAGAGGCATTTTTATATTTATCTATTTCTTGGGAGGCGGTACTCACATCCCAGGGTGCACAGGCTGATGGGAGTCAGTTCTCTCCTTCCCCCCTGTGGACTCCAGGAAGCTGCGGCTGTCTTGCTCTCCTGGTCACGGGTTCAGCACTACTCAGTGAGGAACAGGTTGGGGGCCCTCAGTCATCACTGGCATGTGCTAAGGAAGAAAGGAGTGTGTGTGTGTGTGTGTGTGTGTGTGTGTGTGTGTGTGTGTGTGTGTGTGTGTAAGAATCCTGGCAGAGAGAAGCTCAGAGTCCGTAGGGCCTCCTAGGAGGGGATTCCCCGTATCCTGAGGACCAGGAAGGTTAAGCGCTGAGCTGGTACTAAGGTGTTGGCCCTCTGCTGGCAGGTCATCACCGGGCTCAAGCAGAGGATCTTCAGGCTGGAGCAGCAGTGCAAGGAGAAGGACAACACTATTAAGTACGACCCGAGGGGGCTGCTAGAAGGTCTGCTGGGCGCTGGGCTAGCATCTCATCTCCCACCTCCTCCACTGCCGGTGGCTATGTTCTGCCTCCTTCCATATCACTGTTCCAACCTAAAACGATGAGAACTGTTGCTCCTCCCTCCCCTGTCTGTCATGGTCAGTGAAGTTGGGGGGAGGGTTGCAGGGGCAAGCAGTCTACCCCTAGTAGGGCTCTACCTCTGAGCCACACCCCAGCCCCTCACTGGGGGATTCTAGGCAGGGGCTCTACCACTGAGCCACGCCCCAGCCCCTCACTGGGGGATTCTAGGCAGGGGCTCTATCACTGAGCCACACCCCCAGCCCCTCACTGGGGGATTCTAGGCAGGGGCTCTACCACTGAGCCACACCCCAGCCCCTCACTGGGGGATTCTAGGCAGATGCTCTACCACTGAGCCACACCCCAGCCCCTCACTGGGGGATTCTAGGCAGGGTCTCTACCACTGAGACACACTTCAGTCTTATTTTCTCTTTTTATTTTGAGATAGCATTTCCTTAAATTGACCAGGCAGAGAGGCCTTGAACTTGCAAACCTTCTGTCTCAGGTCCCAAGGAGCCTATGTGATAGGACAGCATCTTGAGGGTTAGCTTTCTCTTTAGTTTGACTTCCTTCCATATTTCATTAGGAATCAGCATCTCTCTTGAACATTTTCCTCCTGCCCTCACCCCATCGGTTTGCAGGTCACTCTCAATATCCAGTGTGAACATTCTGGGTCTAGATTCCAAGGCCTCTCAGGAAACACTGTGCTTACATGTGGCACACACACACACACACACATGCAAGCACACACGAATGCAGGCACACGCGTGCACATATATATACATGCACACATGTGCACAGACACACACACATTCTTTCTGGTCTCACTAGGGTAAGGGATAATCTTCAGGAGAACTAAAGCAGCCTTGTGCCCCTGTGACCCCCCTGCTGTGGCATTGCCGCCCTTAACTTGTTTCTTGATGAAATTTGGCAGCATGAGTTTGGGCGCGTGCTGACTTTCTCTTTGGTACCCTTAGCTCCGCTTTCTTCTGTGCTTTCTCTCTGAAACCTGTGACACATGGTGGCAGGGGGGCAGAGGATTTGCTTTGTTTTTCTTGGTCTTGTTTCGAGAGAGTGACATGCTATGTAGCCCAGGCTGAGCTGAATTAACAGTCCTTTTGCACCAGCCTCCTGAGTGCTTTGATGATATTTGCATGTCACCATGCAAATGCTGGCACTCCCATTCTTTATAAAGCTGGCTGCTCTTCTCTGAAGGAGGTCCTTTGGAACTGTCCACCCAGTCTCCAGGGCGGCCTTTCTTAGAGGAACCACCTGTGATGGCCTGTGGCCTCACTGGAGGAATGGCTGCTGCCACTCAGTAGGACACTGTGCAGACAGGACTTCCTGTAGTCAAGGTCAAGGCCTGCCTTTCTTTCCCATTGTCATTCCCCTCCCTGACTTCCAGGAGTCCCTCCTCCTCTGCATGCCCCCAGGGTGCTGGTTCCACCACGCTAACTCTGAACTTGGGTTTCCAGCAAACTGCAGACAGACATGAAGACCACCAACCTGGAAGAGATGCGCATTGCCATGGAAACATACTACGAAGAGGTGTGTGCACCCTGGAGCATGTGGATGGGGAGGAGGCTGGTGCTGGTCCTCTGAAACCTGCAGCTGTGCATGCTCGCAGGTCCAGCGCAGCCTCATGCAGAGGTTGCAGCAGCCATAGCCAGTGTAGACTTCTCTCCCTGCATAAAGCCAGAACTGGGAAGCCGACTGTAGATGCAAGGAAAGCCGCCTTCCCTTTCTGTCATGTTTCTGACACCTTCTCTTTGGATCCTCACAGATCCATCGTCTGCAGACCCTCCTGGCGAGTTCTGAAGCCACAGGAAAGAAGTATGATCTCATGTGGGGCCTGTCTCCTGTGTCTTTGTGGCTGCTCTGAAAAGCTGATGGTCTTTGCCTGCCACGCTCTCCCTTTTGTGGAGAGCTGTGCAATGCTTATTATGGATGGGCAGGGAGGGGTGTTACTGATAGGTTATTTATCTGCACTGGTGAAATGAGACAATTCAAGCCAGATTAGAATATATTAAAGACAGGTTTATTGGGAAACTGAACAGTTAAATCCATATGTACTGTTTACGTGTGTATGAACACGTGTGCACATATGGAGACCACCTGTCAACACTGTCTTCCTCTACTGATAGCTTCCTCACTGTCTGACAGAGTCTTTCACTGAACCTGGAGCCCCGTATCCTCCTGTCCGTGTCTCCCCAGTGCTTATCTATAATACATTTTATTCATAAAAGACCTGTCCATAACACAGGCCTCTGTACAAACTCCTGGCACCAGCTGGGCTGCAATCACTGCAGACAGTAGCTGGAAAGCATTTTCTTAAAGAGAATGGGGCTGAGGAGGTAGCTTCATGGTAAAACACTGGTGTGTCTTGCAAAACAAAGCCAGGCATGGCTGCATAGGGCTGGGCAGGGCATCTGCAGGAGACAGAGGATTACACAGTAGAGAGATGCATGACATTTGTTGGCTGCCAGCTTAGCTCCAGGTTCACTGAGAGACCCTGTCTCCAGGGAGTAAGGTGGTAGAACAGGACATGTGGCATCCTCCCCCAGCCCCGGAACCCCTGCACACATACACATACACCCAACACATCTGTACACACTAAAACCAGGTAAGTGGGATCGGTTTTGTTATTTTCACAAAGTCAATGCCCTGTGACGTTCCAGGGATAGTGAGTTAGTCAGTACTGACCCATGGCTCCTGGGCCCGTGGAGTCAGGCTGAGGCTCCTATGTTCACTTGTCAGTGTAAGGAATAGTGACTCTAACATAGAGGCCAACAGAGCCCAGAGCAGCCTTGTGCACGCTAGGGGGCGCTTGGCACCGTGTTTAGGACCACTTTTTAAATATTTGATTCATTTGTTCATTCTTTCATTTTTCATTCCAGTATCAGCCCCCCCTCTTCCCAATACCCCCTCAAGCAGATACTCCCCCACCCCCCCTCATCCTCTCACACACTGCACCTCCCCTCCCCTGGCACATCAGATCACTACAGGACCAGGTGTATCATTTCCCGCCAAAGCCAGACAAGGAGGCCCAGTTAGGCTGGCCGGCCGCAGGTTCAGGGACAGCCCCCCACTCTGGTCGTTGGGGGACCTGCATGAAGACCAAGCTGCACATCTGTTACATAAGTGCGGGGCCTAGGTCTACGCTGGGCTCTGTCTTTGGTTGGTAGTTCAGTCTCGGGCGGCCCCCAAGGGTCCAGGTTAGTTGTAAAGGGCCACTTTTAGTGTAGTGCCTTATCTATTGATGTGTGTATTTAAATAAATCCATGATGCTCCTGGGAAAGGAACCTAGGGTGCATGCTGGTAAGAACTCTACCAGCTGAGCTACATCCTCAACCCATTCCAGGGCCACATCACACACCAGCACAGAATAGACAGAAATAAAGTAGAGGTGGGCCTACCAACACCCATATCCATCCAACATGCAGGAAGTGGGGGCAGTGGGGATCCCGAGTTCCAGGACAACCTGGGATGCATGTGGAGACCCAGTCTCAGAAGTGGGGGCACTGGGGATGTTGACAGACGGTAGAGCACTTGCCTGGCATTCAGGATCCCTGGGTTGTGTCCCAGCACTGCATAACTGGTCACAGTGATGCACCCTACAGTCCCAGCATTCTGTTGCTGGAGTTACCGTTTTCACAACTCTGGGGGTCAGGGTTAGTTTCCTCTCTGATTGTTAAGATTCCTGTGTATGAGCCACTCTGACCTCAGAGCCTGGTAAGGAGCCACGTTTCTGGGTGAGTTGTTGCTGAGTCCATCTTGGAAGCGTGGTCCTCAGCCTGCCTGTCACTTGCTTACCCCAGGCCCACGGTGGAGAAGAAGTTGGGTGTGAAGAGGCAGAAGAAGATGAGCAGCGCCCTGCTGAACTTAACTCGGAGTGTGCAGGAGCTGACCGAGGAGAACCAGAGCCTGAAGGAGGACCTGGACCGCATGCTGAGCAATTCCCCTACCGTCTCCAAAATAAAGGGTAGCTGCCTGTGGGCCTCTCACAGGGGGAGGCATGAAGGGGACTGTCAGTCGGTGGATGCTCCACAGGGGTCCAGGGAGAGTCCGAGTAGCCTGGAAACACCAGGAGAGCTGCAGCTCTGGGACTCTTGCTTTGTTTTGCAGTACCGGGGATGGAGCCCTGGGTCTAATGTGGACTAGGAAATGTCCTGCTGCTGAGATGCAGCCCAGGACCCACGGCTTCTTGTCTGAGCTGTGAAGGGGATGGAGTTGCCAGCAGAAGGAAGGATAGGAGGAGGAAGAGGAGGAGGGGGAGCAGGAGGAGGTGCAGGCCATGCTGGAGAACTGGACATGCTTGTCCCTGGCAGGCGGACAGACTCAGGTTAAGGCAGCCTGCAAGATGGGCACTAGAGAAGAGCAGAGCTGAGCCTTAAGCCTGGGGCCATTTAGAAAGTTGGGCAGTGAGGGCCAGCTAGTAACGTCTGGTCAGCAGTGGCAGAGAGCCAGGGTGGAAGCCAGGCCGTGAGGGTCTCAGGTGTGGAGACTCAGGTTGGAGTTTGGAGTTTACCAAAGGGAAAGTCACTGGGCTGGGGACGTAGCTCACTTGGGAGAGTGTTTGCCTAGCGCACGTGGAACCCTGAGTTCGAGCCCTATGACTACATGACCCTATGACTAGCATGGTAGTGCATACATCTCAGTACATAGGAGATGGAGACAGAAAGGTCAGAAGTCAAGGACCTGCTCAGTTAGTAAGTTCAAAGCTGGCCTGGTCTATATAAGAAACCCTCAGTGGACAAGCCCTTGCACCACTGGGGTCTGTAGCTTGTCTGTCAGCCTGGGGAGGCTGTGAGTCCATGCCTGAGACGCGATGCTGCTACAGTGATCTACAGACACTGCCTTGTAAACTCTACTGCTCTTAGGTTACGTAGACTGGAGCAAGCCCCGGCTGCTGAGGCGCATCGCGGAGCTGGAAAAGGTAAGCGTGGGTCTGATGTCTGATCCCTTGGGGGCCACTCAGGCCAGGGCGCAGCTGCTGTCTGGTTCAGTGGGAGACACAGAGCTGCAGTGTGAGGTTAGTCACTCAACACATACATAGGGGTGCTCTGCAAACCTTACCAAGTACACACAGGAAAGACTGCTCCTTGCAGGTCTGGGCAAGACGCAAGATTATGTCATGCACAGCCCTCATTTTATAGAGGGCCAGGCCCAAGAACCCATTACTGGCCTTGTAGCAACAAGTGGACATGTATGACCATGAAGTGCCTGTGGTCTCGCCTGGTACGTGCCTACATCTACAAAGCCCATACTTTTATATAATATTCAGACTCTTAGCAATCTCTTCATCTACACTGCTGACCAGGAAACCTGGGAGGCTAGCTAACATTTCCTCATCCCCCACCCCCACACCAACCCCACAGAGGTGTCTGGTTCTGGGAAACTTGTCCATCCAGTTAGGATCTTGAGATTATATGACAGGGATGTAACCTAGAGATACAGTTCCTACCTAGACTGTAGGTAAGGGAAGAGCATAGCTCAGTGGCAGAGCCCCTGCCTAGAATCTCCCAGTGAGGGGCTGGGGTGTGGCTCA